ACATTTTCATGAGGCTGGACTGATTTCAGGGGGAAAAAAAAGATTCTTTCTTCTTCTTTTGTAAGAGATTACAACCATCATTTCAAGCGTATCCAGGCAGATAAGTAATTGTCTGGAGCACTGGGATGTGCATGATTATCAAAAGAATACGTTTCCTCAATTAGACCACGTGACTCTCCCTTTTAATGTATTGCAAAGGCTCTTTATAGACATTGATTGTTTAAAGTAATATTTAAAAGATTTGCATAGATTATCAGTGGTAATAAAGAAAAAAAAAATTGCCACAATCCAAAAATTAATATTAGAAGGAATTAAGCATTGATAGCTCTTGCCTTTTGTGTGTGTGTGTGTGCATGTCAGGTACAGGAAATTAATGCATGTGTGTGTGAAGTTCATGTATTTGTCGTCTCTTTCTATACGGACGTGACATTACGGCAGAGCAGATGACTTGAAGCACACTGCAGTGCCACAAAGCCTGCTGGGAAAGTTTTAATAGTGTGCCGTGTTGTGTACACACACAAAGCCACAACTTGCTCAGCAACTCTGCCCTGCTGATCAAATACACGTCTACTGTCAGGAATATTAAATGTGTGAGTCCACGTTTACTCTGACGGTGGCTGCAAATATGAAAATCTGCTGATGAAACCGAGCTTCGTTCTGTCATCTGTCACACAGTGACTTCACCATCTGCATCAGCATATCGACACTGAAGCTGCAGGCTCTTTGACATCATTTTTTTTAAATATATCCCAAAACTGTAAATAAAGGATAAACGAGACAACACACAACTGAGAATGAAGAGCGAAAATAAAAAAATGGAAAAAAACAAAAATAAACAGTTGCATAGAGTATAAAGACGACAGCTCACTCCTTCACCATTGTGTCAGCGGACACATGGAGCTGTCCAATCACAGTGCAGAATTATTCACTGCTGCCGTGGGTCTCACATTCTCGTGTCTTTGAGTCCTAGCAACTAGAAAAAAAAATGCAACTACCGTACAAAAAAACCTCAAAAATCGACTACAATGGATGAACTCTAATTGAGATACATCATTTGTAACATGGAGTATTTGAGTACAAATGGACAATGGTATCAAATATAGATGAAAGCGTCACAGTCCATCAACAGTTGACGCTGATCTTCACCTCCTTGTTTCCCTTTTTCACAGTCTAACTTGACTCTTCCAGGTCACTCCAGCCTTCATCTGGATGTAGGACTTGTTTGAGTTCAAAGTGGAAATGGAACTTTTACTGTTTAATTTTGGCCATACAGTGTGTAGCACCAGTAAACACCACTTGTCCTTCACATGGACCTGCTGAGGTGGACTTCTGCATCACCATCAACATTTAGTCCAGGCTGGTTGTGTGTGGAGGCTGCTCCGCTCATTGTTTGCTCCTTCAACACCGACAGGAAAGACCTACAAAAGAAGGAAATGATTAAAGCTAGTTGACCACCAGTGAGCTGTGATGTATTGTTATGGTTTTCAATCAAATTGGCTCGAGAGCCGTTAAACAGATATGACAAAAAAAGTTAATTCATCTGCATATCTACCACTTTTTTGTCTTTTTTCCAAAAAAATGACCAAAATCATGTAGACAAAATAAACCCCTCTCATGTGATTTCCTATTTCAGATGTTGACAATCCAGCTTTTTCGTAGCCATAAAACGAGACAAAGATTTTTAATTTCTTTTTTGAGGAAATAAATCAGATTTGGATTGGAATGATGACTTGTAGAAAACCTCAAACTAACAATTAAATCCCTGTGATTTAAGGTTCCAAACAATGCCAACCGCTCCCTGGACCTGGATTTAGGCTAAAGTTGAAAGGTTTTACCGAGAACCTGGCACGCTATGAGCTGCTAATACAAAGAGGAAGCATGTGACTCAAGCTAAGCTTGTCTGGATTGGATGTCAGAAGAAAATCAAAACTCTTTTTTGTTACATTTTTTTCAGCAGCTCAGACAAGCAACTTAAACTGTTACAGCTGGTTCACCGAGTGGATGGTCCAACTGGACCATCACGCAGTTGTGTAAAATAACAAAAGAGAATTCAACCACTGGGGAGGTAATTAGCATCTCTTATGCTATTAGCAACCAGAATGTTAGCCTTGGCTTTTACCATGGTGGCAAAAAGTGGGTAGACTCCACCTAGAGGGAAAGTAAGTAGGGAACCGCAGGGTGTAGTGTCATAAATGCAGTTCAGGGTCACAGTGGTGTCGCTCTGAGTTATTGACCTCATGGTCATGTTTTGTTGAAAGGACAACAGTGTATACGCTTGTTAATTGTGGATTTACAGCCTCAGCATGATGCCTAATAAAACCAAAGGATGATGAGAATGATTGCAAATTTTCAAGTGTGTATGTTGAGGATTGCGTCGGTGTGTGTGTGTGTTTGGTGTATGAGGGTAGAGATAAAGGAGTTGGGGGTGTCGTTAGAAAGAAAAGTAGAAGGTGCCGCTAATTAAGAGTCTGAAAGAGTGGGAGAGTGGCGCACACCGCGC